TCTCTGCATCCATCACCAAACAAACATACATATTAATCAGCAGATATTAACGGTCAAGCATGTGCAATATTTTTTAATTGTATCCTATGCAGTGAGGTTTGAACATAAGATTTCTATTGCCTAATTTGATGCCGTATTAAAATAGATCACTAACTCATTTAAAAGTCCAAATCATTAAAGAGATAGATAAGTTTATTATTTATATTATATCCTCAAAACACACAAATAAATAAATTAAGAGAGGGAGAAAAAAAAAACAGAAATCCAAATATTGTGTGCACACGTTTCCAACCAAAAAACCAATCAAAGTGTCTAAAACAACACTTTTGCAAAACATTTCATAATTTACTTATTAAATTGCTGTCTATTGCATAAATTATTATGTGTCCATATCCTTTTACTTTAAAAAAAAGCTATGCTATTCGAATTTAAAAATTAGATTTACTTTTCAAATTCAATGATCAATCAATTAATCACTCTCATGTGTTATTCTTTCTCTCATATCTTCTCTCATTATCAACTAATCATTTCACTTTATACATTATTAAGTTTAAAAAGTGAATTTGTATGTCATGTTCATTAACAAATGCCACTATCAGATTACTTTCCCCAAACATGGGGAGTAGTATATTGTATAAATTGTTACACTACAATAAATTAGGGTTTTAGAGACAAAAATTTGAAAATAAATTTTTTTTTGAACAAAATATTTTTGTTACCAAAAGTGTCATTATTATATTTTTACTGATGAAATTTGGATATTAGTGATGAATTATTATTCTTTTGGAACTAATTTTTTTTTTTTTCTAAAAATGCATTTATTAGCGACATTTTAAAAATTTTCTCTGAAAGTCCTGTTTTCAAAATAAGTGAACCCCATTAAACAATGTAGGAAGAGTTTTATTCTTAAAATTTTCAACCATCTATCCTACTGATGCATACAGTGCAACGTAAGAAAGGACAGTGTGATGAGAAAGGGTATAAACGAGAAACAATAATGAAGAGGAAAAGGATATGGCAATGGAGACAATGTCATGTAACCTTACCCCTTGCTCCCGGGCTACTGGAAGAAGCATCCATGAGCACTTGACTCTCCATTTGAAGTCTATTATATACAAATATAAAAGTTAAACTTCTTCGAAAGTCAGTTGGCTGGTGTTGATCTCTCACAAAACTGCTCACTTCTCTTTGGGGATTATGGAAGAGTTTTCATGTCTATATATATATATATATATAGAGAGAGAGAGAGAGAGAGAGAGAGAGAACTGCCACAATAAGTTGTTTGGTGGGCCAGAATAAGGTAAGGACACCTTGCGCTATACACTTCTTCCAGTTGTACATGAAAACCTTTCATCAAATTGGACACAATCTTTTTCACATATGTTTGAGACTTACAAAATTATACTAGAGAATTGTGTTTAGTTATGTAATGGATTTTTGTATTTTTAAACTTTTTCTTATCCCAATGAACAACATGCAATAGTTAAGAAGGACGAAAAATTAATGGTTCAAAAATAGAACCAAATCGTTCATATAATTGGAGAAGCCACAACTTGACTATGAAGAAAATAACGTATAGTTGTTTGTTAACATTCAATATGTTACCAAAAATTCATTGACTTCGTAACCTTGATCTCACATACTACGATTGAAATGTATATCTTACATTCACATTCATCTACATATATGATATGCAACCAATTTCATTAATAATAAAAAAAATTAAAAAAAAAAAAACTTCATTTTGGGCTATTTTCCTGTATTTTTATTTATATTATCTATACACTATTATATAAAGCACAGAATTTTGTTGGTGTTGATTGTCACTTTTTTTATTCCCAAATTAGGTCTCTACAACTACCTCAAATTTAGATTTTGAATTTCAAAAGAAAAATAACATACAAGTCAACTTTTTAGACTTACTTTCTAAACCTAGTGATGTGTTAAGATGATAACTGATTAATAATTAGAGAATATTTAATTATCAACCAATCATCTTCTTGATACATTATTGAATCTAGAAAGTGGGTCTAATTTTTAGATATGAATAGCAATGCTCATTTCAAAATTATATATATATATATATATATAAATTTTCTCCTTCTACATTCAACTTATTAATTATCATAGCATACACATTGAGTGTTGGGCCAGGAAAGAACTAATACTTTGCCATCAATGCAAAAGAGGTTGTATATGAGAAAGTAAAGGAAGATGAAAGTGAAGGAAGGAATAAAGTATTAAAAATAAAAAACACCTTACTAATGCAAGTCATATTTCGTATGTTTCATTAATAATGATCTTTTGCTCTGCCGTTCAAAAAAAATAAAATAAAATGAAGTTCAAAGTTCAAAATAAACCAAAAGGCCTCTATCCCCTCTCTCTCACATTTTTTTAACACATTTTTATGGATTTTTGTGACAAATATGGCGTACTCTTTCGAATAGAGTTATAATAATTTGTTATCCATAAATAAAATAATGCATTTTTATGGCAACATTACACATTTTTTCATTGAAATATTTTTGAATCACTAATTGTCATACTTCTATTAAAAAAATTATGTAACATTTGTCACAAAAATATTTGACATGGAAGTGTAACGAAGGGGTCCCCTCAATCTAACACAACAGTTAAAAATGTATAATTCACAACCATATTCATCTATCTATATGACAATATGTCACCATTTCATACTTAAAATTTAAAAAAAAAATTAAAAAAATACTCTCGATTATTAATTAGGTGCTATTTTTATGTACAACTTTTTTTGTAATAGAGATGATTGGCTAGTGATTAAAGAAGGTCCAGCTTGCCTCATGTTTGAGCTTAAGATTGAACCGTCCAGGCCGGTCCATGGGCTCATTTTTGGGCTCCGTTTCAATAATCTGAACCGTTAATGTGTAGAACTCGTCAAATACTGTATTCCTATTAAAAAATCACATTGATCGGATATCGATAGCTATTTGATCGGATCAAATTTTTGTCAATCGTTTATTTTTTCATCGTCCATTTTTTTTTTAATACAAATCTAATACGATCAAATAGCTATCGATATCCAATCAATGTGATTGTTTTTAAGAATATAGTACTCGACGAGTTCTACATATTGAACAGTTTGAATTATTGAAATGTGACTCACAAATGGGCCCATAGGCTGAACTGGACGGTTTAGTTTTGATCTCAAACATAAGACAAGTTAGACCCATTAAAAACTATGAGAAAAAGAGCTACTTTTAATATTTTAATAGATTGTTAAATTATTAAATTTAAATAATAAATTTAACTTTAAAATTAGAGTAGCATTATTCTTTTCGTAATCGTTAAAAGTGAATTGCTGGTTAATTTAGGAAAAAGAGGTTACTAGAGGAGCCGCCTCCTAGAAAACCTCCTAGAAAAAAGAGGTACATGAAAAAGTAAAGAGGAAGAATAGAGTGCAGAAAGGAAAAAGCAAAATACCTTACTCCAATCATACCCAACGAGCAGCATGCAACAAGAAAAGTTAGAATAAATTCAAGGTTCAAAAACTAAACCAAACAGTTTAGATGATTGGAAAAAAGTGATAACTTGACCATGAGGAAAATAATGCATAATTGTTTATAACTTTTTCCAATAACCAATTACATTACTCGCATTAGCTTGTGGAGGTGAGAATGAAAAGGATGAAAAGTGAAAATAGCATTTGACAGAGATTTAACTTACTAAAACTATTCAAAATTCAACACTACAAAAATTTTAATTTTTTGTGACGGCATTTTATGAAAAGTGAAAATAACATTTGACAGAGATTTAACTTACTACAAATTATTCAAAATTGAATACTATAAAAATTTTAGGCTCTGTTTAGTTGTGTTCTGAAAATGTGATTTCAGGTGTGTTTTTGAGTTGCGTGTTTGTTTACGGTTTTTAAAATTCAATTCCACGCTTTGCTTTGAAAATTCTGTCACCCGGATGTCCCCCCGACCGACCTCCTGGATGTCCCACAGGACGTCCCTGCCAGTGATTTTTTTTTTTTTTAAATTAACACATGTTATGTTTTATATATTAAATAAAAAATATTTTTTGATTTTTTTAATTTTTTTTTTATGAATTTTGTATAGAATTTTGAGTTGTATGTTTAGTTATGAGTTGTTAATTTTTGTATCAAATATCACGTCACATCAAAAATCCCCACTCAATTTAAATTTTTTTTCAAAACTCAACCAAACAAATTTTCAACACTCAAATCACAATTCCAAAATTCACAAACTCAAAATACAACTCATATTCTCAAATCATATTTACAAAACTCTACCAAACACAACCTTAGTTTTTTGTGACAACAAAATGCAGTCGCTAATATTCCTAATGCCGTCTCAAAAAACTTTTAGCTATAGCAAATAACTTTTAACGACGACAAAGGAAGGATCACAACAGAAGACATTGCAACGGCATTTTACTATCGCTTATAATATGTAAAAAATTGAGACCTTTTGTGACGACAATATTGTACCGTCACTAAAAATTTTATTTGAGACGGCAAAAAAATACTAGCACGAATTTTTTTTTTTTTTGTTGTAACGGCATGACCTCTGCCACCAATTTCTTTTGCAATGGCATTGCCTATGTTGCCAAAAAAATAAATTTTAGTTCTACAATAAAAATACTATTTGGGTTTTTTGCAACAGTGTGGTGCCATGAAAAAAAAAAAAAAAAAAAAAACCTACAATAAAATTATTTAAAATATTTAAATTATCTGTATTAAATGAAGAAAAAAAAAATTTTAAAAAGAAACCAATAATTTCATAATAATATAAAAATTCCTATATAAAAATAGCAATTTCTCCATAATAAAAATATTTATGCATTCATAACTACACATCAGCAAAATTACCCTATTACATAATGTTTCATAATACATATATAATATTTAAATACATAATGTTATTCACAATTCAAAATAACATAAACCAAAAACAAAAGTTTTCATCATCATTCTCCGTGGGTAACAAAAACAAAAGTTAGTCACATTCTTCACAGGCATGCATTCCACAAGAAGCAAACTCCTATTCGGGAAATATCTGAAAACAAAAAACAAAAATAATTAATGACAATATAATTATGTGTTAATATATTAATTACAAAAAAATATAAAAATTTAACAACTACACAATTACAAAGATAATTAAGTAAATAATTTTGCCTAGACCGAAATTCGACTCTAACTCTCAAACTGAGAACCCGATTCCAGCCCCGTCTTCTCCCACAAGTCTCTCATGCCAAGGCAGTCGTGTGTGCCAAGTTTCGTGCTAATCCGACTCCGTTTGGTGATTTTGGGGCGTTAACACCTCGAATTCTAAGTTTCTTAAGGAACTAGTTTGCCTGGACCGAAATCCGGCTCTAACTCCCAAACCGAAAACTCGATTTGAGTCCCGTCTTCTCCCACAAGTATCTCGTGCCTAAGCAATCGTGTGTGCCAAGTTTCGTGCTAATCCAACGCCGTTTGGTGATTTTGGGCCATCAACACCTCAAATTCTAAGTTTCTTAAGAAACTAGTTTGCCTAGACCGAAATCCGGCTCTAACTCCCAAATCAGGAACCCGATTCAAGTCCCGTCTTCTCCCACAAGTCTCTCATGCCTAGGTGGTCGTGTGTGCCAAGTTTCGTGCTAATCCAACGTCGTTTGGTGATTTTGGCGCTTCAATATCTCGAATTCTAAATTTCTTAAGAAACTAGTTTGCCTAGACCGAAATCCGACTCTAACTCCCATACCGGGAACCCAATTCGAGTCCCATCTTCTCCCACAAGTCTCTCGTGCCAAGGCGGTCGTGTGTGCCATGTCTCGTGCTAATCTAACGCCGTTTGGTGATTTTTGGGGTATCAATACCTCAAATTCTAAGTTTCTTAAGAAACTAATTTGCCTAGACCGAAATCCGACTCTAACTTCCAAATCGGGTACCCGATTCGAGTCCCGTCTTCTCCCACAAGTCTCTCGTGCCTAGGTGATCGTGTGTGCCAAGTTTCGTGCTAATCCAATGTCGTTTGGTGATTTTGAAGCGTCAACACCTCGAATTCTAAGTTTCTTAAAGAACTAGTTTGTTGAGACCGAAACCCGGCTCTAACTCCCAAATCGGGAACCCAATTTGAATCCCATCTTCTCCCACAAGTCTCTCGTTCCAAGACGGTCAAGTGTGCCAAGTTTCATGCTAATCCGGGCAAATATTGACATAATGTCTCACATTATTTAAAAGTTAAATTTTTAATGAACGTAAATTTAACTCCCTATTGAAGATGAGTACACAAAGGCCATGTTTGATTCACAACACTAATAGTGAGGTATTAATAATCCTATCAAATTAGTGTGGTATTAACTATCCCACCCCTATCCTATTACTAATAATCCAACAAATTTGTTGGATTAATTATCCATTGGATTAACAATCCTAAACCAAAATGTCAAAACAAACATAGGATGATTGGGCCCACGGATTAATAATCTCAATCCCATGCTTTAATCCTTCCAATCAAACATACCCAAAGGTCACTGAAATGCCACTGTGAGAGTTATCTGTTAATCTCCCATGATCTTGTAGAATGATGAACCAGTTCATGAGACCTTCTTCTAGTTATGTTCTAGACTCTAGTAGAGAATATCCAAACAAGGAAATCATAATACACAGCCCTAGAGCATTTATATAAATCAAACACTGCAAGGTAGTTCATAGATAGCTGGAAGTCAGTAATCAACTGACATTTCATTTGGTTACAAGCAGAGAAACCATAATAGGAGACTCAATAGTAAAAACATATACACAAATTACGGAAATGCATGAATCACCTTTCAAATCAATTGGTAACACTGATGCAGGCTTGTTTTCACTAGATTCAGACATAGCCCTTGTAACAACCTTCTCAAATTTTACAGGAGATGGCATGAAATTGCGCTGAAAATGTTGCAGAGATGATATATGACAAGTACTAGCAAGCCTAGCCCATGATAACCCTTTAGAATCAGCACCAACATTTGTTACGCAAGCCTTGAAAATTCTGTTAGTAAATGAAATGGAGGGCCTTGCAGCACTGATTTGCAGGCCAGTAGCAGCAGTTGCTGCCATTTTCAAAAGACGAAATCCTGAAGAAGAAAATAGAAACCTGTGCAATATACCTGAATCAGAAATGTTTTACATAAAATTTATCTTCCTGATAACTCAATGATTTTAGTAGAGTGAGTACACCATATGTAAAATCAGAGAACTACTAGAAATAGAAAGAGTGACAATTAAAGAGAACTGGTAGATCTTTTAAAAGAAATGGACTTGATGTTAAAGTCTTTGCCATGTGAGACCAAGCCATTCAAAAAAGTCTACTAAATTGAGCATAATTAAGGTATTTAGCTAGCGCTCTATTTGGTTTGATTCCCTAAATAGAAAGAGGGTTACTTTACAAATTTGGCTAATTGCTCAACTGACTGCAATAGCCCTCATGAAACCTTATTGTAACTTTGTTAACAGCATCATTTTTCCAATGCAACGATCCCAAACGAGGATTCTGGCTCTTGCTACTCAACATTGTGAGTGTACAAGAACGTTGACAAATAAATGAGGAATTCATAATTGCATAGCGCAGCTAGAACTGCCCTCTAAAAACTAGAATCGTAAACTACTTTGTCAATATAGTTTATCCAAAACCATAAGGGCATATGGTAAGTTGTCAATTTTGGGAAATCAAAAATAAAATTAAAGGAAAGATTTCAGCATTTCAATTTCCTTCTTCCTTCTTTTCATTGAACTTATTTTCTCAGCAACAAAGCATAGTACTGCTCACAGATCTACTGATTACACAAAATAAGCAACAATTAGCTGTTATTTATCTCCTTCAAGCACAAATACATCACACACACACACAAAAAAAACCCAAATAGACTTGCAGTCTCCTTTTCTTTCCCTCATTGCATATTTTCTCAGCAACACAACGTCCCAAACACAACATCACATATTTATATGACTAACCTACAAAAACAGTGCTTCTAAATCTTCCAATTAAGCTTAAAAAAAAAACACAAATAGACTTCAATTTACATCTATTTTTTTTCTCAAAAACAAAGCTTATGATCAAGAAACATAAATATTGCTTATAAATCTACTAATTAAAGCTAAGAATTAACTACAAAATAGAACTAGAGAAAGAAGACAGCAACATAATCAACAGCAAATGAATCCAACAAAATTCATGCCCATGCTTCTTCAGAATTTTATGACTCTAGCAGGACTTAAAGTGTCAATTAGCTTGTTATTAATCCGCAACAAAATTAAGGGATAGACAATCAAAATCGACACTATACACTATTTCACCTGAAATCTAAATCGTTGTAACTTGTAATAGAAATATGGTGTGCCAGCAGCAATATAACATGGAACATTGAAAGCATTTAGCTTTTATTCACTACTTAATGTTTGTAGTAAATTAAGTTTTAGCATCTAAAAATTTGAAAATACAAATTTATCCAATACTAAAAAATAAAAAATTGAAAATAAAAAAGCTCCAGTTTTTCGTGCATCCATGGGACAAGGTATAGTACTACAATAATAACTCCAACCCCAACTCAACTCAAGCAAGCACTTCTAAACTAGAGTTGTGCTAGGGTTAGAAACGAGCACCTCAATATAGACTTGAAATGAATGCTTTAAACAGTTTTTCCATCTTGATGTTTAAAATTGTTAATCAAGTAGGCAAGGTAGTGAATCCATATGGATAAATTTGAAAGGGATTGTAAACCTAAATGTTCTGTATTATGTTGCTACTACAAAAAACACTCACGGTCATGGAGACTTGCCCAAAATCACATTTGGCAACAGAAAGAACTAGCAGATTCATCATATGCTAGGGGGTTACAAGCCCCACTCCAAAAATCAAGCTTGTTCTTTTAAATCACTCAGAAATTTAGTCCAGTGTCTTTTCCTTCTGGACAAATTTTTTAAAAAATAAAAATAAAAAAGCTTACATAATATTTCCTTCTGGACAAAATATCACAATGATAACAAAATATACCTCGGGTATGCAGGCCACATCGTCAATTCTTGTGATAAGCTAAGCAAAGATCCCCAGAACCTTCAAGAAAATCAGTGGCCCATACTGACATTCCAGAAATGCAAACTACAAGTAAACATTATGAATGTCTTCCATGCTAGTTTTGGAAAACACTAAAGCACAAGATGTTAGAAAAGCAAACTAATTAAGTGCATAAAATTTCTTTGCAATTTCAATATTGAGGATAAAAAATAAAAACAAAAAGAGTAAAATATATGTAACTTAATTGCCCATGTTTGTTTGCAGGAGGGTGGTTTATGCAAGAGAAAACTGATGACCACAAACTCAATGCAGTCTCAACATGTGCAAGTTTAATGGTTTGTTAAAAAGTAAACAAACTGTTATTAATACCAAAAATGAGCTAAAATAAGAAGTATGAAAAAAATTCCCCCTTCATGGAGACTTGCTCAAAATCATAATCAGCAGCATGTATCGCAATCAACAGGAGCCTACCAATCAGCGTGAATCTAGCCCATGTTGCCATGCCTATAAAACTCAACTAATAAATAAACTGAAATTCATTTGAACACCCACTTGGCCCATTTTACAAGATTACATATTCCATGACAAAAATAGACATGATTGGCAAACCATATATTTAGATAAATAAGATTTTCAAGAAAAAAATTAAACAAAAAATGATATTTACAAAAATAGGTTCTTGAATAGCAAGTTTTTTCTTCTTATTTTGAATTTTTGGTAAACAAAACACAATATCCTTTCATATTATGTACACATTTCCATTTTAATTTAAGGGCACTAGAGTTTCTGTACAAAATATATACATATAATCCCAAACATGGTAATCTGATTCTGATCCACAAAATAGCCAGTACAGCAACCAAGGTAACATGAAGAGGCCATAAATGTTGTGGAGAAGATACCATGAAATGGCAACAACCAAATATAAAACTAAAATTTAGGATCACAAAGAGAAGGAAGTTTCCATTGCTCGGAATATCATATTAGTGTCAAACCAAAAATTTCTTTATCAAATCAAACTTGCATAGATTAACATGTTCTAAAGTCCCCCGAGTACAACACACACATAGAATCGAAATGGCATGGAGACATGAGGGTTGCCCTCATTGGGGGTTAGAGTGCAAAGAGGAGCTCTGGTAAAAAAATGTTTTACAAATAGTATAGTTTCTCAACAAACAACAAAGAATCAGATCTGATTGAATAAACAAAATTAGAAAATTAGATTCGATTGGATCACAAAATTGGAAAGAAAATTGATGAAGCAGACCACGTATGTAAAAAAAGATATGGACAGACAAAGATCTCAGTCCGAACCTTGGATTTTGCTGGATTTATCTGTGAATCGATGAACAAAACAACATCGACCTCTGCGAACGACCCAACGACAAAGGTATTGGCAAAGGTATCTGAGACGCCGCACCGCCGCAGCCGCTGCCGCTGCTAGCCGTCGTCACTCGCTGCTCACCGTCGTCACTCGCTGCTCACCGTCGTCACTCGCTGCTCACCGTCGTCACTCGCTGCTCACCGTCGTCACTCGCTGCTCACCGTCGTCACTCGCTGCTCACCGTCGTCACTCGCTGCTCACCGTCGTCACTCGCTGCTCACCGTCGTCACTCGCTGCTCACCGTCGTCACTCGCTGCTCACCGTCGTCACTCGTTGCTCGCCGTCGTCCCCCTTGCTGCGACTGCCACTGCTGCTGCTTGCAGTCGTGAGAGTGAGAGAGAGAGAGAGAGAGAGAGAGTATTTTGGGGATTTTTGAAATTGGGGATTTTTTGTTTAAGGGATTGGGGATTGGGGATTTGAGATCGTGAGAAACAAAAGAGGGGAAAGAAAGGGGGGAATTCGTATAGAAAGAGTGGGAGAACGAAAAGAAAAAAAAGAAGAGAAGAGGAGAGTTAGGGCTGGCGGTGTGAACCGGATCGTTTTATTTATTTTTTGTTAAAATAATTTATTTATTTATTTATTTATTTATTTTTGTAATTAATGAAATTTTTTTTTTTTTTTTTTTAGTTCCTAATTTTTAGTTACTAAGGTTGAAAATTTATTTATTTCATTTTTATTTTAATGAAAAATATATATATATTTTTATTTGGTAAAAATAGGGGTAATATTTTAATGAAAAATATTTTCCATTAAAATAAAGTTAATTTTTTATGGTCAATGAAAAATATTTTTCTGTGGCCCACTTTTTGGTCACTAAAAATCAGGAACTAATTTTTTGTGGTAAATGTTAGGGAGCAGCAGTAGTGGTAAAGGTGGTGGATAAGGGGTGATGGTGGTAGTGGTGGTAATGGCGAAGGAGATTAGTGGTGAAATTGTGGTAGTGGTAGAGGAGATAGAGTGGCGGTGGTGGAAGAGAGGTAATGGTAGTAGCAGTGGCAGTAGTGATGGTGGTGGTAGTGGAGTGGTGGCGATGGTGGTAGTAATAGTAGTCGTAGAGATGGAGTGGCAACAGTGGTAGTAGTGGTGGTAGTGGAATGCCATTTGCAGTAGTGGTGAAGGTGGTAGAGGAGATGGATGGTGAGAGAGAGAGATGAGTGAGAGACAGATAGAGAAAAGAGAGAGAGAGAGAGAGAGAGAGAGAGAGAGAGAGAGAGTGGCCATTAAAAGTGTATTTTCTTGTAGTGGATCGATAAATTGAGAGGGAGCTCGGTAAATAGAGAAGAGGGAAGGGAGAGAGTGAACATGACGAACATAGTAGGAGAGAGAGAGAGAGAGAGAGAGAGAGAGAGAGATAAACATACAAGTAGACAGAGAGAGAAGAGTGATGAGTGAGAGAGAGACAAAAAGAGAAAGAAAAAAAGAGAGAAATAAGAGATGAGCGAGAGATAGACAAAAAGATAGAGAAAGAGAGCAAAAATAGATGAACGAGAGAGAGACATAGAAAAAGAGAAAGACGGAGAGAGAGAGAGAGAGAGAGAGAGAAAAGAAATGAGAGAGATAGAGAGAAGAGAGATGAGCGAGAGACACAGAGAGAGAGAGAGATAGATGAAAGACAGAGACAGAAAGACAGAGAAGAGTGATGAGTGAGAGAGAGAAAGAGAAAAGAGAGAGTGACATGAAGACGAAAAAATGGGTGAAAAGAGAAATGTTATATCAAAAGAGTAAGACGACGTCGTTTTTTTTTATTTTTTTATTTTTTTGCGACAGAAAAATACCGTTACATTTATTCAAACCATTTTGTGACTGTATGTAGATGAAGCCATCTCAAGCCACAATATTATTTTTACTCTTTCTTTTTTTTTTTTTTCTTTTTTTTTTTTTTTTTTTTGCAATGGTACCTATTACAGTAGCAAAAAACTCACTTTTTTCTTTTTCTTTTTCTTTTTTTTTTCTTTTTTGTTGCTACTGCATCTGGTGCCATCGCAAAAACTCTATTTTCTCACGACAGCAATCTCTACCGTCGCAATACTCTTCTTTTTTGCAATAGCAATTTCTGCCGTCTCAAATGCTCTTCTTTTTCGCGACAACATTTTCTGTTGTCGTAAATACCCTATATTTCTGCGATAGCAAATTGTGTCGTTGCAACAAACTCACCTTTTTCGCGACAACAAATTGTGCCATTGCAAAAACGCTCCTTTTTCGCGACAGCAAGTTATACCGTTGCAAAAAGTCACTTTTTGAGACGGCAAGTGTGCCGCCGCAAATGCTTTTGTCTTTTAAGCCCACTTTTCTTGTAGTGCAACTTTGATACGATCTTAAAATAATTAATTTAAAATTAATTGACAAATAATGAAAGGGCCTTTTAGGTATATACTAACCAAGTTTGAATGATTTATAATGCTTTTTATTTTATTATGTGGTTGGTTGATTTCTCCTCAACCAATTTGTGCGGTTGGTTCCCCAAATGATTGGGCATGCTTTTTTGTGCCAACCTAGTTGGGATAATTGGGCAATGCTGTGATGCTTATAGCACTACCTTTTTGCTCTTTGTTATTTCTTTATTGATGTATGATGTAAGGCTTTGCTCTTGATTCTTATCAATAAAATTTATTTTGTTAAAAAGAAAATATAGGGCAAATATATTAACTGATGTCATTTTCGCCTCTCATTTCTCTGTCACCTCCACATGCTATTCGAGGGGCCAACCCTGGCCCAAGGAGAGCTAGGCAGTCGCCTTGTTTCTACAAATTTTGTCAAATATTAAGGGTCCCGATTTATTTATTTGTTTATTAAATTATTATGGTGTTAGTAGGTTTAAAAATAAACACGGAAACCAATTAATTTAACTTTACAATCCAAATTAAAGGTCCTTAGAGCATCTCCAATTAATCTTTCATATTTTCTTTCATCAAATTTTAAATTGATGAGAAAGTATTCAAGAACCATCTCCAATCATTTTATTAAATGTTCATCAAATTAAGAATAATTTTGAATTTATATTATACTTCTTTAGGGTAAAGTTTTGATTAAATGATTTTTTTTAATACAAAAAGGTCCTCAATTTGAAAATTTTGCTTGGGTCCCGATTATCTCAGGGTCACCTGCCGATGTCATTCTCGCCTCTCATCTCTCTATCAATTCTACATACTACCTAGCATGTATATATAGGGGACTGTTAGATTTGTCTTAAATTGTCTTTGTAAGTCTCCAAACTTGATTAATATATTTGAGAGGCGGCTCTACTCATTATTAATTTTAAATTGGATGTTTATCATTTAGTATTATTGTTTCTCCTTTGCTTATATGTTTTGCTCACTTGCAAATTCATTATTTTCACAAACCTTATTTGGACACACAATAAATCAAACGCATGAATCAAGATCTCACAAACCTTATTTCGTTGTTGGATCTGTAATATTGTTGTCTGTCTTGGCTAGTTACCAGAGCCTACGAATTAGGCATTTGGCCATTGCAAGCCTTTTTAAGGGGTCGTGGGTTCAATTTTTAATAGTGAAATGAAAGAAAAAAATTTAAGTACTGGGTGTGAGTTCAACTCTCTCTAAGTATTAATTTAACAATTAATTATTGATTTTTATTGATTAAAAAAATGTAATTATCTAGTTTTGTTCATATATAATTTAGTTGTATTATTTATACTATATTACTAATAAATGAAAAAATTATATTGCCCATAAAAAAGGGGCCAAAAATCACATTTTTTCTATTAAAAAAAACTGGCCAAAAATCACTTTGCCCCTTATGATTTTTTTTTTTTTTTTTTTTTGAACGGCAAAGCAAAAGATCTTTATTTATGAAACATATGAAGTATGACAAAGTACATCAATAAAGAGGAGCTTGGAGCTAACACAAGCTCCAAGCTCCTGTTGGTGAGAAGCCAACAAGAACGAAAAGCAAAGAAATAGAGCAAAGAAAGCAAGAAAAATAAAAGAAACAGAGCTTCTAGAAAAACAGACCCAAGACAAAACATTACTGCCATGCCATGAACACTAGCAATCAGAAAACTCCCAGAAGAGTGCAGACCTACCTTCTCATTTTTCAGCAGACAAAGCATTACTGTCATGAACCATTACTGCCATGAACCAGTGCACATGCAGTGCGTAAACCACTACTGCCATGAACCACTACTGCCAAGAACCAGTGCCTTACACTTAAACAGATCAGATTTCCATGCCATGAACATTATCAACCAAAAGCATCTCATGAACGAAGGCAATGCCTTACACTAGAAACATTCAAGAGAATGTCATTAATGGAGAACGTAAAATCTTTAGTAGAGGACTTTAACCAGATCGCAAGCTTGATGATAATGAGATCCTGCAACACCTGAGTGTTTAGTTGGGAGGCTTGAAAGAGGCACTCATTTTTGATCTTCCAGATGGACTAAAGAGTGACCAATGGTATGGCGCACCAGATTATCCTCTCCTTTTTCTTGCAGATGAATCCTGCCCACCACTCCAGCAGATTCTCAACAGAGGCAATGACCACCCAAAGAATTCCCCACCAATTATAACAACCCAGTCTAAGTCCTCCACACCATAGGGCAGTGAATTAGAACATGTTGGATTGTTTCCTGCTGTGTTTTATAGAAGAGACATGAGGTAGAAGCCGACCTATCCAATACACCAATCCATTGCAAGAAAACAGATGTTTTAACCTTGTGTTTCCATGTGAGCCAACCAAAAAATTGCACTTTGAGTGGCAGGTAGTTGAGCCAAACCAAACCACTTGAACTAACAGTGTTACCAAAGGCAAGGTTAGAATGCTTATAAAGAGTGGAAACAAGGGACTGACTAGGTTTTAATGTTGCCCAAACTGCACTATCTTCTACACCCAGATTCAAAGAAAGAGGTACTGCTAAGGTGGCAAGAAGTCTGTGGAGCTCTTTCCATTCAAAGAGGGATCTCCTAAAGGTAAACAGCCAGTTTGTAGCTAAGTTTGTTACAAAATCCTTGAGTAGTCCCTCCTTGCTTTTGGACAGTTGAAACAGTCTAGGAAAACCATCTTTGAGGCAAAGAACTCCACACCAGTGATCATACCAAAACTTGATTCTACAACCACTCCCAACTTTTAAATGAAGATTACTAACATAGAA